ATGCTTACGCTCCCCGTCGTCTCACATGCATGCTGTATGCACGTGTAAACATGTCTATGATTGCCACCCGGACATACCTTCGCGTGGAGTAGCGGCTGCTGTTTGAAAGTCCACTGCTATGTGAAGTCTTCCCAGGCAGGCCGCGTCAATAGCAAAGATAGGAGCAGTTGACACAGACCGCTGTCCAACAGTAGCAGCCTGTGCTCCAAGGCATTCCACTCTCACATCTGCAACAATACACCACAACACAGCCAATGATCACAATGCAAACAAAATTTGGTTAGATCAACCGGTGATAAACATGTAGTTCCAAGAGGAATTGTCAGTAACACGAACACATGATGGAGACAGATAAGCCAGCCTTGCCAGCCGTTTCGTGCCCTTGCCTTTCTCCGAGAAAAGCTATGAAACTTCATAACGCACAACCTCTCTAATTTGATTTGCTAGATTCCTCTCCACTCGACGTTGCTCAAGTTCATCAGCGTTCCGAAACATATGACCCTCACCAAGTGCAAGAGAGTCGACATTCAATGTGCACACAGAGTGCTGTGGTACCATCCACGAGTGTTCTTCACACGTCATCTCCTCGACAAAAGCAACAAAGGCTTCCTTGACGGCGCTCTCAGAAAACGAGGAAACCTACAGGAGCACATGGCAGACAGGACATACATGACAATAGTCATCCACGTATAAATCAAAATAACTTCATAACTAATGCACAACCCATAACAAATGCCCATACAAAAGGAAAACAAATACAAGAATAAGTGCTGGTCCGTTTGAACGGAACTTCCCAGGTCTCATTGAAACCGGGCACATGCACTGCACTGCACTTCCCCGTTAATAGAACACGTGAGAGCAGTACCGATCCCTCAATACTCCTAAGCAAAGATGGGCGTTAATAATAAGCAAGGACTCTTACCACCCCACCTCTACTCAAATAAGAACTGTGTGGCAATGAATACCAATAGTCTAGAGGAGATCAGTTGCTAACAGTATTATACACCATGTACTATACTCGTACCTGCGCAGCCTCAACAACCGGGCGTAGAATGATCCCCTTGAGTGCGCAGTTCTGCCGGTGTGCTCCGACATCGCAGAGTGCAACTGGATGACGTGCCGGTATGGCACTGACCCGGCGCAGTACCTCATCCACTAGCACGTGACCGGGCAGAAACGATGAGCCGGGCAACGACGGCTCGCACAGTACATGCACTGTCACCAGCTGACCAGCGCCACCGCTGTTGCCAGTATCCGCTGCGCCGCCGCGAGTCGGTGCAGGGCGATGCAGCGCCGCATTTTTCAACCACCATGTGCTCGATGGCATGTCATGCTGAAACGTGTGCAGCGTAGCCAGATAAACGTCGTCGGAGCCGTCCGTGCACTCGTGTTGATCGGGTACAGGGGAGCACTTAAACTTCTTGTACCATGTCTTACAACCAACCAAGACAGCGTTGGGCTGTTGCAAGCAGCAACGCGGAATACCAACATCACCCATTGGCTGGTGCTGCACACGGAATATAGCAGAGTTGGCAACTGCGCATGCGTGCCTGTCAGAACGTGCTGGCTCACTGAGCTGACCACTGCTGGTGGACTCAGCAACACTGCTAACAGGAGCCCCCCGGTTGTTGTTGTTACCGGCGGTGCTGCTGCTACTGCCACTGCCACCACTATTGACAGGAGCACCAGTATCACCCCACACCATACCTCCTTCCATGGACACAGCGGGCCAGTTGGCAGAGGACAGGGACTCGTGTAGCAGGGTAAGCTTTGACGTTGACCACTCGTGTAGCGAGCCAAGCCAAGACGAGTCGTCGCCCCTGGGGTTTGACCGGTTCACATCTTCTGTCGCCTTCTCCGATTTCAAAGTGCTTTTCGAAGCAGCAACATGGACTGGAGCACTGGTAGCTGGTTGCTGTGCTGGCTTGGGCGTGGGGTGATTACTAGGGCGATCATTAGATTGTGCTGACGTTGACCAAGGAATATCGGGAGATGACGCAACCTTCGGAACGACTTGAACCTCGGTGTTACGATCGAGTAGTACACACTCACCGGCTGGTTCAAAGGAGACTGAAGAACAGAGAGAATATAAACAAGAAAACACCAGCAATCACTGGCCAGGAATGCCAGTGCACACATGTGCACAACTTAGACAACGATCATTTCCAACTCGGACACAAGTGATTCAAGGACATATTTAATACTATATATGTACCTATAAGTAAGCCGAGTTGCCAGCCATGGTGCAAAGGTGGCACCACAGACATCAAGACAACTCGTTGCTCAAGCGCCAGAGTGCTCAAACTACGAAAGGCGGTGAGTGATGTGTAATGCAGCAGCACTAAAGCAGCCTACCGAGAGTGCTCAACAAGACAAAATTAATGTCGAGGAGTGAGATACCCAATACTATTATATGTACGTATTTTTAAAGTTTTTCAGCACTTAGAAAGAGGACAAACTTCAGCCTCTTCACCAGAAATATTTTCGAAAATTTCCACTTCTATACTTTCATGCCTTTTGTCAGGTGAAATACAGCATTATTTTAGATCAGTGATGAATGATCAATTCACTCTCAATTTACAGTTTTACACTTCAAAGTTTTTTTAATAATTCAACAAGACTTTCCAAACACGATTTCTATTGGCAAAGTATCACCACTATAATCTATTGACGCCACTAGCAAAAAACACACCAGATGCAATAAAAGGAAATTTTTGGAGGGCGCGCGGCACTGTTAACTTATACCATGCTAAACCAGCCCCTCCCCCAAAAATAATAATACAGTACTTGTAATAAACACTCCGCTCGACCGGGTCCACTAAATCTGCACTTATTGCGCACCTGTTTTCAAGTAGACAACCGTTGAGAGGTTGATCCAAAATGGGAACACCACACCAGGATACAGCACACGAATCTGACTCAGAAGCTGACTCTCCACAAATGATGCGTGCAGTTCCTGTTCTCACACACATGGAAACGCACATACATCCGCACACACACACACACACACACACACACACACACACACACACACACACACACACGCGCACGCACGTACACACACATGTACGCACACGCACGCACACACACACACACACGCACGCACGTACACACACATGCACGCACGCACACACACACACCTCAGACCTCAGACATGCCCATCGCGGAAGCGATGATAGCGAACAGCTATGTTAGACGTAGCAACTTGTGCTGGGATTACACCATTCAACAGCTTGCAAGGCTGATGAATTGACCGCCACTATTTTTAGCCTGGTATCCACCACACAGCTGTTTGAAGTGACTTTTTCTGGCCAGTGAATCCCTATTTTTCATTTTTCCATTTTTTCTTCACACACACACACCACACCACATACTCTGGCATACACTGGTTGTTGGTAACCACCCAGGAGAATGAAAGAAAAGTCAGGAAGAGTCCGAGAAAGAGAAGAAAGACGTGTGCGACCATAATCGTCGGGAATTGAACCCGCAACCTCTCGATTGGAAATCGGCTGCACATACCACTGCACCATATGGGACACACACACACACACACACACACACACACACACACACACACACACACACACACACACACACATGCCCACCATACAACTCTTGGCCACACATGGAAACTGTGGTGGGTTGACTTCGTTCACGAGCATGGACTGCAAATCTGACATATTTTGGTAAGGAAGGGAGGCTAGCTCTCTGTCGGTGACAAGTCATCTTAACTCCAAACTGTACTGTAAGTAAGTGTGGCAATGTGGCAAAGAGTTTGCAATCGTCTGCTCCTGGCCTCTAACAGGCCTTTAGCAGACATGACCTGACAGGTTCAGGATAAAAGGATCAGATGAGTGGGGAGAGGGGGCAGCTAACTTAAATCTTCCTATGATGTTTACCTACATTCCATTGAGAACTTCACTAGCTGTAACTCCAAACACCTATGATATTGACTATAAAAAGTGCTAAGGCTCTTTCTGATCCAAAAGCATTCACGCATGTGTTGTGTGAGATGACAGACAGAGAGGCAGAGAGACGACGGGCTATTCTCACCAGTACTTCCCACTCTTCAGGAGTCAGTGGTTCCAATGTGGCAGTAGTGCACACACTGGGTGCATGGATGGAATGCACAATGACCTGTACACAAGAGAAAACAACACACCGAGCACTCTTACTAGCACAAACACTAGGCTTACACGGAAAGCCATAATTTCTCAGCCACATGACCTCGCAGTATAATTATGTAGTTCATTGCAATGATTGTAAGTAAAAAGGCAAGCATGCTCCCTCGCTTGGCGCCATGTTATCACTATGGCAATGCTGGTCTGATTCATAAAACTACAGCGGTATCATCCATACAAGTCGGGTGACGTGGTGCTGCTCCTCTGACATCTGCTCAAAGAAAATACAGTACTAGTATACCTTCGCCGTATACGAAAATGGCACCTCGAGTGAACAAACATTTCAAAATGAAATTCGATTTCGAGGGGGGGGGGGAGGGGATGCTTGCGAATCATACTGCTCTGGCAAAACCCAGGAACACCACTATTGTTTAGCAAGTAAGTACGTAAACTCTCAAACGACACCACATCAATGTCTTTTGCATAAGAGAGTATTACCTCATTGCGGCTCTGCAGCCCTAGCCGATCTGCAAACCTGCGATCAACGCTCACGTGCTGAACAGCACACGGTTGAATGCGATCGTTGGCCGAATCTGATAGGCCGCTGACGTACACAGGAGCCAAGCCATCTTGAATGATCTGATAGCATGGTACACGCTGACCCTGAATACAAGAATGCACGTCAATCATATAGAGACATTCATTGGTTTGAGGGAAAGTCAGTGCAAACGGGAAAAGCCTGAAGAAAAAAATGACTGCCACCAGCAGGACTCGAACCGGGGACCCTCGCTTGTGGCCAGCGTATATAGAGATATAAACAGGCACACATTAGAAAATAAAATGGAGCAGCAACCGAGACATCTCACAGCTGACACCCAGTGCAGTATAGTTTGCACACGGTGAGGTCACATGACCTATGTACAGTCAACTTCGCTAATAACGACTGCGGATATAACGACAATTCGCGAATAACGACAGAATTTCCATGCCCAGAGCAAAGTCCCATCCCACTGTAATACATATAATGAGACTTCGGGTATAACGACACTTCGCGAATAAGGACACCTTTTTGATGCCCCGCCGAGTGTCGTTATAAGCGAAGTTGACTGTACAGTATTTCAAACTGGGTTCGCACGTGCTAGCATACACTGATACACTGATACAGCTTGCTACGTGTCACCTTTACTCGGAATAAGTGCTAGCCCGCTGCAATGGTTCAACAGTTACTTAACCAATCGCCTACAATCTGTGATCATTAATGGTGCACGAGGAGCGGAACGTCCATGAAGCCGTGGAGTTCCTCAAGGCTCTGTTTTACGACTTGTGCTGTTCTCGATATACATCAACGATGCACCAGCCGTCCTGAAACATGCGAGCAGTCAATTGTATGCCGGTGTCATTACCATGCATACCAGCAACAGTAACTGTCCTACCGTCGTCCACCAACTGAACTCTGACTTGTCTGCACTTGACGGGTATTTGCAGCGCAATAGTCTGATCCTGAACCCTGCAAAACCCAATTCCTCCTACTGAGGCGAAACGGCCAGGAGACTCCAAACTGCGTCCTGAACTGGAACACTGTGAGTGTGATCACTCCTTCCACTACAGCCAAGTATTTGGGCCTGATTTTCGGATGAGCATTCGACATTTCGACATCAAGTCGAGCACGTCTGTTCTTCTGCCCGCCAGAAGGTAGGGTCGTTCCGTCATTGTCGACGTCATGTGACGAGATTCGCCAGGCGCCTGCTCTATCTCAGTATTGTTCTGGCTACCCTTGAATACGGATGCAACGCATATTTCCACTGTTTATGCCAGAATCTTCGCAATTAACTTCTTACTGCTAGCCGTGTTGCCATTAGGCGCACTTTTGGTTTATATCGTACTATGCCCAGTGCCCAGTGCCCAGTGCCCAGATTCATACTCTTGCTCATCTGTATACATTAGATCAGTGCCTGGGATTTAAATTGCATTGTTTTGTTTATCGCTGTGTATCTGGATTGGCCAGCTCTCTACTTTGCTGTCTGTATACGCTGCGATCTGCTGGCTCTCGCTCCAAAGCTGTTACAAGAGGTCAAATCTCTTCAGCCCTCGTTTCGCCCAATGCTGCATCTCGTTATGGCTTTCTTTCAATTCATTATTATGCCGCAGCTCACTGGAATGCTCTACCTGCGGACTGTCGCCAAGCTATGTCCCCAGCTGAATTTCGCCGCCACATCAAAACACGCCTAGGGTTCCCTGTAAGAAGGCGTCCCTGCCTCTTGAGGTCCCCTAGTAAAAATTAATAAGATTCAATAATAATAATAATAAATAAATAAATGTAGAAAGGAAAAGGACACATGGAAACGAGTTAAGAGTGTCCTTTTCCTTTCTACTTTTATTATTGGCTCAATACACCCGAGTTTCAAATAAATAAATAAATAAATGAAGTTGAAGACACCACCACAATAATAATAAATTTTGGTAATAAGTCCAACCCTCAGCACCAGAACAATACTAATTGTTCGTGTACGAATTGCTCACGTACAAATTGTTTGTGTACAAATTGCTCGTGTGTTGCGGGGAAAAATATGTACGTGAGTTGTGCTTTACATGTATGGTTCTTTCTTAGTATAATGTGCACTTTTTCATAGCATAATGCTGCACGTATGTTGGGTACAGTTATGTAACAAAAAAAGATGTATATTCATTTCAGAGGTTAGAAAAGAGGGGAAAAAGTCTGAAAACTGTCCTACGAATACATGTGCATGCACTTCCTCTACTGTACCAGTAAGGTTGTATTGTGGATTTTCCAACACGGAAGATACATGTACCGGTATGCCCAGCGATATATAAAGGACAGTTATATTTAAACAACATGACTGATTGTATTTCCAATGAAACCCAGATCGACCCGAGTCACAACTCTGACCTGTTTCAGCTGAGGAGATCGTAACCCAGATGCAAAACAGTGGCGATACGATTTCGTCTCCACAAGATATACCCCAGACTCCTGTGCATCCATTCTGATTGATCGGCTGTTGGTTTGCTCTTGTATCTAATCGAGACAATTATCAAATCACTTCTCCATGCTGAATGAATCGCAGATCTACGTAGACTACGTAGCTACGACGATGAGATTTTCAAGCCTTTTTGAAAATGCTTTGTCACGTGCACTGAGTACATGACGTATACATGGTATAGTGATATTCAAAAATCAGGACAAGAGGATTACGCATTCAGGGAAAGGTACATGTAACTAATTACTTCAAGAGTTCATAACCCCCATATGAACTCTTGCTTATAGAGGACTTTCCATTACATCACCTTTTTGGCGCCTTCCCGGTGTCCACCCAAAGATCACCCATAAGACAAGTCCGTGTCCTACGGTAAAATGTGCTTGGGTGGCAAAAAGAGAATCAAATGTGTTGTTCGGTGTACGGTTGAAAATGATGTTGCAGGCCGTCGCAGTGGTGAAGCACTTTTGCTTTTCTTTGATGTGGTGAATAGTTTCGGTAAGTCGCGAGGATTACTAGCCGCAGTTACTCTACTGTTTATTCCAGCCTTGAAGAGGCGTTGCCGCGAGAAGATTGACAGAATCCGTGGGCCCAGTACATTGATCCATATTTACCTATGGACGAAGACCTTTCAGCCAATCCCCCTGCGTTGGGTATCCAGGCCTCTCTAAATATTTAGTGAATGTCCCCAGCACATATGCAAAGGACTCTCTAAAGTCTTACAATAGCCCTGATGGATACAAATGTATGTGTCTCATTGCTGACTGGGTTGGCACATTATCGTGTCTTGCCCAATCGAAGGAAGAAACAACAACTGTCAACAAAATTCGTTTGCAAACGTCAGGCACTCGCAGAGTGTTTTTGCCGAACCTGTCCATCCTTGGGTAGCTGCTGAATTACCTGGAATTGTTTTTTGGCGCACACTGCACTTGCATGGTGGGCCTGGGAGAAGCATGCTCCCATGTTGCTGCAGTGCAGTGTTGTTTTGACTGAATTTACGTTGGAGACTGAAATGTGATGTGTGCTGAATGTCAACACCTACACCACTGGGTCACTCACCAGTGGCTGGCACCGTCAATGAACACTACACGAAAATAGTGTACATGGATTTTACTTCAGCTGGGCAGAAATTGGAGCACCGTGCCCATAACCTACAAGTAGTCTCACTTCTCTTTCGCTGCCTGACTCTCTCTCTGTCTCTCTTGCTTTGCATGCCTGTCAGTGTATCCATGTGTGTGTGTGTGTGCGTGTGTGTGCGTGCGTGTGTGGGTTTGGTTATGTACTCTTGGTACGAGTATGACAATGTTGACATGCGGTGGCTGGTAGCACGAAAGCTGACAAAGTCAAACACGGCCATCATCATCATTGGTCCTATGTAGCCAAAAAGTTGGTGTAGTGGCGAACTTAGTTGTCCTGATCCTAAAACACGCTGATGAATGCACATCCAATACAGCAATTGTTTTTTCCTGGTCGTCCCTCGACCTGGCATTCTCCATAAGCAGTTGCTGATTACCGGTAGAGTGTCCTCCATTACTGCCTTTGCAAGAGTTACACAAGAAGTAAGATCAAGATGATCCTCACCACAAGAAGATCAAGAAGCTGAATACATGTACCTAATTGTCCAGAAAGACAGAAGATGAGGTATACTAGTATGTGCCGCAGCAGATGAAGAACTGCACAGCGCAGCAACCAAGTGGGAAGCAGAAGAAGATTGCGCAAGTAGGTCGATCAGAGTACCGGTATTATTTTATCCATGACAAAGGAAATACACATTGTGCAGAACATGAAGCATACACACTCGCATGGAAGAGATAATAGGGAGGTTTAGTCCCACGTAATCCGTGGGTACTTTACGTGGGTGTACCACGTGATACTCAGTGACCCACGTACAGACGTTTTCTGATTCACGACATACCGTGTATGGAGGCTCACCCACGTTCCGCCAGAACGTGGGTGAAAATCAGAATGGAGCGCATTGTGCGAGCTGTGAGGGTGCTCAGCTGAAGAAGTTTCCGAAGCACGAAATCAAAATATTGGATGAGCTTCTTAGGCCGGGGTAGCTTCGTCTTTGACCAGGTTTTGGCCTTTAGCTTCATGCTTTTGTTTGTTCCGTGTGACTAAACACAACATTGCAACGTGGGTGCCCTTCATCCACTTTACGTGGATCACCCACGTACGCGTTTCCGTTACGTGGGAACTAAACCTCCCTAATGCCGGAGTTGCACCCAGGGCCAGTACTAGACTATAGCTAGCACCACCAGTCATGTAGAGGCACGTGCATAATAGAGCTGGGTACATTAGTCATTACCATCAGCATCAGCACTATCAATCATCAAACTCCAGCTATACCTTGCACCCCAACAAACTAAGTAAGTTGATAGTGTTCGGAATCATCTTCGTGTTTCCGCCTTTACTGGTGCTGCCACAAATGAGCTGAACAAGTTAGTTAGTTAGTTAATTCGATACGTACTGGGGTGACAGGGATGATCATGACTTTTCTCTTCGCCAACGAAGTGATGGAACAATATTCGTGTACTTCGAAGTATTTGCATAAGGAGCGAAGTTCTCGAGTCGTGTGTCCGTCATCCACTGGTTCCGTCGTTCTCCATCGTAGGGAAAACGATAACAACTCAAAGACGATCCAGGTGTGGGAACATCCGATCGCGAGCAGCCCTTTGGTATTCTCAAACTACAGTATGCAAAATGGAACTTCTTTCGAAAAACACTGTTTCTTTCCAGTGCAGTCTTCTTTTTTTGCCACCCAAGCTCCGTTTCAAGTCCGGTGATCGGTGGTGAACTCGATGATCTTTGGCCCGAATCCTCATAGGCCGCACGGTATGACTCATTGGAAAGACCTCTATACTTTGTTATAGTACTTACCCCCAACTACTAGTACTACATTTGTACATGTACTTGCCCAAGCAGGGATAGGGAGTCGTCAAATACCGGTATTTGACGACTCCCTGCCCCCAAGGCAACTACTATTAATATTATCCCATGGTACGAAACGATTTGGGCCATTTCAGCCAATCAGCGACCGTTCTGAGCGGGGGTATATAGAGCGATATACCCCGCCGGGGTCAATAATATACCCCGCTGGGGTCACTGGGTCAATAATAATATACCCCGCTGGGGTCACGAATATTCCCCGGGTCACGCGAGGGAGATTTTAGTGCTGGTCACGCTCTATTTGGGACAGACTCAGTGCATGGGATAAATGGATTATACCATTCGTACTCTGTGTATACCGTGTCCCTTATATATTTCCCTCGTGCTAACGCACTCGTGGAAATATTCGGCGGTATACCCCTCGTACTCATGGGATAATCCATACGTACAAGCAAGAGTACATAACCAGGGGGTTATGTACTCTTGGTACAAGAGTACATAACCCCAGTGGGGTTATGTACTCTTGATACGTATTATTACCAAGAGTACATGTACTCTTGGTATTACATAATGAAGTTATTGTCATAATTATGGACTTGGACTTGTGCAAGCAATTATGGACTCTTGGTGCAAGCAATAAGCACACTGTATCACCGTACAGTAGTATTGTTCAAACGGGTATAGTTTGGGTCGAGTCAGATCTCCTGGTTTTTCGTGGCTCCCTGTTAACATATCAATGAGAGTGCCCCCCTCCCCCGCCGGCGGGTTATGTCTTGCAGAGTACATAATCGTGACACAATGAAAATACTGGAAGACTGTGCATGTCTGTAAAAGCTCTCAAATTAAGGTGCCAAACACTAGCAGCACAGGACACACACCCACACCAAAGATAACAAAGCAGAGAGAAAAGAGGGACAGTGCATCAGTGTACCCGGCCCCTTACATGGTATCTGTCTGGCATGCACTACAAGCACAATGTATGTATAAGGAAGATGTGTCTTATCCATCATCGGCATCCAGAAATGGACAGATTTACACTCCATAATGGCAGTTGTGCACACACAAATGTTACCGTGGCAAACACACGAGACAATAGACATACCCGCACACAGGCACATACCACATACTGGTATGCAACCAGACAGCCGCAGGAGACCTCCTCAGCGCAGCGCAATGACCCGTAACACCACTGTGCGTTCGTAGGCATCTGGTGACAGCCCAAAGCCGAAAAAGCCAAGATCTCGTAGACAAAAATAAGCAGACCTTACACTACTAGGTCCAAAAGTGTTACAATAACATTGAGTTTCATGAACATAAAAAAAAACAAGAAACATAAAAGGAAACAACGTCACATGGACTACTACAAAGGTGTTGAGATATGGGATTCTGTGAATGAATTCAGTTACAATTCCGTTCCATGCAAACTACACAGGAGATTGCACTCTATTTGATGTTGCTTTGCCATGAACTACGTGTATGTACTTACAATGTACAAGAGAACATAAAAAAAGAAAGGGAAACGAAACCTGCAGCATTTCACGACAGCATGCTGATACTGGTAGGTACACTGAGTAAGTCATCCAGGGAAATGACCTACGGAAGCAGTGACAAAATAACGGGCCGTGACAATAGGGGAAGGTACGGGGGCCTCTAGAGTACAAGTGGCCCGCAGTGCGCCAGCATGAAGATGAAAGCCGGAGTAAAAATCTGAATACGTCGGGATCAAGGCAAGTGCGCGAGATCGGCGGTGACAAAACAGGTTGGTGCTGTCAGTCATATGTCCACGTGTAGTGCATGGGAGAAAGTACTCGGCGAGGGATAGCAAGGGAGGTGTCCGCCTATCTGTATTCGTAATGCCACTAGAGCTAGCATGAGTACAGATAGTACACTGCCATAAGTACATGAGGCATGTTACATAATAACACTGCAATGGCAGTAGTGTTGTGAGCGTCTATCTCCGTCTTGACCTATCCGCAAATCTACACAGAGGAGTATCCGTGTTCTGCTGTTTTCATTGAGTGGAGGCTCTCGCTACAATGGACTAGAGTGACTCACACCGATTTCAAGATTCGGCAGGTGTATCTGTTGGCTCATCGGGTGTTTTGGCCGAGTCTGCCTCACCATCAGCCGCCGCCACTGGCTCAGCTCCAGCATCTTCACAAGCAGTGCTTTCTGGCTCTGCTTCGGCAGCATCGGTTTCTGGTTCTGCTGCGGCAGCATCGGTTTCTGGCTCTGCTGCGGCAGCATCGGTTTCTGGTTCTGCTGCGGCAGCATTGGTTTCTGGCTCTGCGGCAGCATTGCTCTCCGGCTCTGCTGTGTTCACATCAGGTGAGCCCTCTGCGTCAGGCACAGCAGAGACTGACGGATCAGCATTCTCCGGTGCTGAAGAATCTGGTGAGGCGGATGCTGGAGGATCAGCAGTCTCAGAGGTAGCGACATCAGGGGTTGTAGATGTTGCAGGATCAGCGGTCTCAGAGGTAGCGGCATCGGGTGTTGCAGATGCTGGAGGATCAGCGGTTTCCGATACAGCAGCTTCTGACGCACCAGGCGAAGGTGCTGCATTGACTTCTTGCAGCTCCTCCGCAGCAGCAGTACTGTCCACCGCTGGCTTGCTTTCATCCTGTACAGGCTCTGCTTCAGCTTCCTTTGTGTCCTCTGCACTCTCAGCTACATCTGGCGAATTCTCTGCCGATGGCGCCTCTGTTGATGCTGCCTCTGCAGCTGGGGGATCAGCAGGAGCATCACTAGTGGAAGACCCAGGCGCAGTTGATTCCTCGGGCTCTTTTGGTGCATCGGCATCCAGCTGGCTAGATTCTGTGGCTGGATCTTCCTTCTCATCTGCAGCAGCAGTACTTGTGTTGTTCGCCTCAGCATTGACACTAGTATCGGGTCCATCTGCTACATCTGCTGCAGGTACTTCCTTGGATACATCACCATCTGCTGCCTGAGCAGCCGCATCAGCAGGCTGCACCTCTTTCTCAGCCTGGCCTTCCGCCGCGTTTTCTGGTCCTTCGTTTGTGTCTGCGGTAGCGGCAGGAGTTGCTGCTGCCTCGCCGGTCGCTTTCTCTTCCGCCTTGGGTTCAGAGGACACTGCATCGGCTGTGGCGACCGTGTCCTGTGCCGCATCTCCGTTCTTTGAAACACTGGTTTTCGATGACTTCTTCTTGATGGGACCAGCACCATCTCCGTTGTCATTCAGTGACCAGTCATACTTCATGAACGAGATTTTCGGTGTGCCACCATTCTCTAAGGCTTTCTTCAGTTGGTCTTGCTTTTCGCCCGGCGCCATGTGGTCAGCGTAATACTGAAGGCGCTCTTGCACGGTGTTGCCAAAGTCTCCTCCAAACCAAGACATGATCTTGCTGAGTCGCAGCTCGTTGCGCTCTTCGCTGTACACAACGTTCTCCGACGCCAGGAAGTCGCGCGCCGCTGCGTCCAGCTCGGCCTCGATATCGTCAATGGTGAACGCACGCAGTGGTGGGCAGCTGCGCGCACCGCACACCAGCGCAAAGTGAATGCGTGGCTCGTGTGTGGCAAGTGACAGCGGCAAGCGAGCGTCACTGTCGGAGAACTGCTTCTTCAGCGCCACAACGCCTTTGCGGTTGGCGCGCAACACACCGTTCTCGATGTCATCCATGCTGAGAATGTGACCACCTACGGCGCAAGTGGACTTCCTGAAGAAACTCAGCCGCCCAATGTTGCCAGAGGCAGGTCCGGAAAGAACCATCGCAGCGATGCACACCATGTTGTACATATTGATGAAGAACGCCAAGCGCTGCGAGCGAGTAAGCGCAGATTCGGACACCATATCTACACGCTTCATGACTGCTGCCGACTGACGGAAAAGATCAAACTCGTCGCTGTCCGCGATGCCTCGATAGTTGACGGATATCTGGTAGCCATCTGCACTTAAATACTTGCTGAATAGCTTCCCAATAATCTTGGCCTGAACTTGGGCTAGGTCGACTGCTGAGACTATTTTCGATGTTACCTCTGGTTGAGGGATGAAGCATGATGAATGTCCAACATCTGCTATGAACCTCCATAGTACACTACTCAAGGGATTGAACACCACTGGGCCATGATCCACACGGCAAATTAGGCAATTGTCTACCCAGCTCTGGCACTTCTCCACAGCATCTCCATAGCTCTGTGCAATGCTTGAGCTCACTAACCAGCTCACCAGCTCCTTGGCAGTGAAGCAGGCAGAGCGACTGGACAACTTCAGAAATCCACTTCTGTGCCTCTTGACAATTGCTGAATTCCTCAGCTCTGCAGCTTCTGCATACAGAGGGTCATCCTCGGTTTGAAGGCTCAGTGGCTCCTCCACAAGTGTAATGTTTCCCGAGGGTGCAGCAAATTGGCGCACATAATCAGAAGGCTTTCTTTCCACTCCCTCCTCTTTCTTGGCAGCCGTCTCTTCAGTTCCATTTTCTTCTGGTGTGGCTTTTTCAGCTTCTGCTGTTGCTGAAGCACCGTTCTCTGCGACGCCATTCACTGTAGCACTGTTCTCCGCAGCTCCACTCTCCGCAGCAACGTCAGTGGTCTTCTCGTCGGCTACGACTGGCTTATCACCTGCGTCTGCTGCCATTGCATTCTCTTCCTGAGGAGCTGGCTGTGAAACTGCAGGGTTATCACTGCCATTCTTTCCCGTGCCCTCTTCCGACATGGTCTTGACCGCAGTGATACCTGTGGTGTAGCAGCAATGGAGATGATTTGCCCTCAGCGAAGGCTCTTTGTCACCAAACACTCCACAAAAATCCCACAGATGTTGAATTACAAAGGTCGTGCACTGCACTGAAGCGTTCTTTGGTCTTTGTACGGTGTACGGGGAGCAAAGTTTGAATTTTCGCCGTGCCGTTGAAATGCAGAGCTGGAAGCCAGGGCAGAACCAGGCTGCTTGCTGGTTGTTGAGTTACCGAACGGGGGTGTTCAACAGCGGCGGATGAATGAAGTACTACTTTTGTAGTTGGTAGCTACAACTATGACTATCCTGTGATTCTAGCTGTGGACAGCGCTGCACGATATCGTAATGAACATAGTGAACGATCTGCTTCAGGACCTAACCTGCTAGATCAGGTAGACGCCGATTGAGCAAGAGTCTTGCGAGCAGCTGTCACGCCTGATCTACCAAACGCCACTCGCTGGCATCCGAATGGAATGAGACTCCCGTGTTTAGCACAGGAGATCTCATCGAGGCTCACCCAACTAAAGTAAAGCCTTACTAAAGGCGAAATCGTGAGTCGCTGGCGACCTCGTAAGGCAGTTGGGGCGTGAAGGTGCCTGGGCGGAACAATCACAGCGATCCTGCAGTAGTGGGGGAAGGAAATCGGTCACATAATCCCACACTGACCGATTTCCAATGAACGAGGTCCTAATCCAAAGACGGCAAGATCTAGTTTTGTGTCAAATTATTTGGCCGCAGCGGCAGCAGCAGCTAACTGTGACCCGGAGAGGGGACGCTCCGACCAACTGTATCGTCCTGTTTTCGCGCATCGTTGCATACCACACAGATGCGCCCGAGTGTTGTGCCTCAACATAGTCTCCTCCCGTGGGCTGCATCCTGTGCGCTTGTCTGAAAAAAGGCAGAGTGCTAGACCTGATCAATCTGCACTGGACTGCCTTGAACGTGGAAATCGGGATACAGCTGACAGTCTAACACCACTCCATCCAGTCACCATCTCAACAAAGGCGCAAGCGTCAATCCGTCATTCTTCCAGGTGCGAGCCTGTCGCAACACGGCGAATACGAGCATTCCATGTCACGTCACTAGCTTTTGCTAGAGTAGATCTATCTACCATGATCTACGCGCTAGTAGATCTACCATACACGAGTACGGGTGTCAGAAGTCTGCACTTACATGAACCTGCAAAAATAGTGCCATATGCATACTAGTAGTGCATTTAGTGGTATTATTAGTGGTATCATTAGCACGACAGTAGGTTCATTAGTACATTACACCTATACTATGAGGCGCTATGTCCTTGCCCAGCTCAGAGCCCTGGGGCCATGACGCATGAGAGCTCAGGTAAAGCAACAAGGGTCTAGCACTGCGCAGATCTACCAGCACCCTGATTCGAAAGGTTGAGGTTATCATAAGAGCCTCATAGGTTGGGTAGCACAGAGACTTGTACATGTCACAAAGATTATGATTGTACTTTTGTAGGTCATCGTCTCGGCAAGTCCATGTAGTCTATTGTAGACCTACTGAGACCTACTGAGACCTACTGAGACCTACTGAGACCTACTGAGACCTACTGAGACAGTACTGAGTACTGTAGTACTGACAATGACTATGTAATAATGTATGTCCCGTGTCGGCTCGCGTTTGCTTTGCTGCGATCATGTGCGTTCGTGGTGCCCGTTCATCGTACTTCGTAGCACCGCCCCGTAAATGCGGGACCTGGCAATCGCATTCGCAGGACGCTGCGGGCCGGTTAATACAATACTACTGCAGCGGCTTTATCGCTAAAGGGCGGAGGGACAGTGGTCTGGTGACGGACCAAACACAGACAGACACGCACCTGCCCATGCGTGTAACCACCCAGGGGTGATGCCATCCTAGTCTCTAGATCCTGACCTAAGAAGAAGATAAATACATGTAAAGCTTCAACTCCATGGACCGTAGGAATGTAACGCAGTCACATAAAAGTCTGGTCCTATTGTAACGTTTTACAGACAGCTTTTGACCGCACAACGTCAGTGTCGTGATGTACATGACAATTATTTGTCAAACATGTATGTAGCTCTCGCAGTGAAATCACTCATCGCAAGAGAAGCACCCAAATCTGTACATGATTGTACAATCATGTACATGTACATGTACATGTACATCCCCCCCCCCCCCCACACACACACACACACGGCCCACGGAGTCATACATAGTACATGTAGTGCTCCTGTACTGTGCTGCACCTACAACAAGACTGTGTTTGTCAGAGATAGTACTGGCTCGCTCCCGGATTCTGTGCATGGCATCGGACCATGTGGTTACAGCACACAAGTCTATGTTATTGTTTGGGAAACTACCTAGCCTTCAAGGCTTGGCTAGTAGATCTACTAGTATAGTGTAGTACTAGTAGGGTTTGGAACAAGCATGATGGAGGTGGCACTGTAGTCTGGATGCCAGTAGACCATGGTAGACTGAGTAGCAGACAGTAGCAGTAGCGTACTAGCGTACTAGCGAGTGTAGCCTGTAGGTTTGTTACAGGCGCTACATTGTAGGCGACCAGCTGATGACCATAAGCCGCATAACGCCGCTGGCCAACCCGATTTAATAATATTACCGGTATACCACGGACACCAAACCACAGTACAGCGGACATCGGCCATGCATGGTTGACTCGGTGCATGAACTCAAGTGTAAAAAATTTAATAAATATAGACGGTGACTTTCGACACGTTCCACAGCAGGCACATAATGTACTCTGTTCCGAATGGAGTGTGGGTGTCCAGATCAATGACATATGTGTAAAATGGGGGGGGGGGGGGGGGGGTCGTTAGTAATGTTCATTTCCGGCCGAGCATCCCATTTGGCCGGACCGCCTGAAATCCCGGTGCTACAGCTCTGCAATAGCACCATGCGCTACACCGTAACATGGCTCCAGCACCTTCAGCATTTCCCGAATCCCTTCGCACAAATCATATCCCCAATTCATTTCGCCAGGAACTTAACAATTTCATTCATCTTGGGCACCCTGTAAGAAGACCTTAGGGTCTGTTGGGAATGCCCAAGTAAAATAATAAAATACAATACAAAAAAACAATACAAAAGCATTAACATGACGTGCACATAAAACCACGATGCTACTTTGTTCATGGGGTCAATTTTTTAAACGGCCAGAGCCGTGTGTGCACAATGCACTTGGATCCACAAGTCAAGTGCGAAAGCATAGTAAAGACATCAGTGTAACACTGGTAGTACGGACTCAGTACAGTAGTGTGACGGTGTGCCGGTGCAAACACATACCGTGATATACATAGATCTACAGCCGTGTCTGGTATAACCAACCACCCGTGGTCTTAGATCAGTGCTGAAGCTGGTGATCGATTTATTGTGGGTCATGGCCCAGCACAAACACGGATTCAGCAGTCGTAGCACAGCCAGGCGACACCAAAGGTGATCAATCAAGACCCCCCCCCCCCCCCTGAATGATAAGAGCAGGCACCGGTACAGTCCTACCTCATGTATCTGTGTTCGACCTAGCCAGTTTCTACAGCCGTCATTACCAGACAACAGCAGTGCCACTTCGAAGTACAATCATTCCCCACCACGTACACAATGCACTACCACTACATTCATGTACATCTATGCCATGGTGCGTGCCGGCCTTGTACGAAGGACTAGGATGTGCAACCCACATTCACAGGACCAGACACAGGTATTAGCGGGCTGTCTTCAAAATGGAAAGCCTGGACTGGAGAACTGCATTGCATGCGTGAAAGTAAAGGCTACATTATGCGATGACGTCCAGAGGGATGGTTGACTGATGGGGGGATTGCCCCATTTCAGTACGTGCACTTGCCAGCGAGCTGCATACAGCAGCCGGATTGCTTCTCACTGAGCCCTACACAGTCCATTGCCTTGTAGTCAATCAAGTCCAGCTGCGGTGTTACTGGTTTGACTGTGGACTGGTGGTGTTCCACCGCTGCTGTGATTTCACTGATGAATGCGTGGTACCTAGCTGGCTCCAGTGGCAATCTCTCCTGGGGATCAACCTGTGCAGTATAGAAAACAACACATACGGTACGCCGTGTGATTCGGTAGAAAGGGGAAGTCCCTCGCAGTCCCTACACATGATGTCACGGTGGTTCATATTGCCTGAAGCCGCGGTGTCGTCCGCTGAGCATAGTACTGTGCTTACATACAAGCAACTTCTTGGAGAACGTCTTTTGCTTTGCATGTACATGTACTGAAGTATATGTACATGTAGAGGGCACTAGCATTCGCAAAACTCACAAAAATCTACAGGTAATCGGATAAGAAGGGACCAGACATCCTTTTTTCTAGTTTTGGGAAATCATGACACCTCGAAGTACCCAGTATGCAGCAGTCAGTGGATATTATTATCACTCTATTCACGAAGGTGCAGCAAAACGGTCCCGATGGTAGTCGGCCAGGTGCCCCAAATGAGCATGTTCACAGTTGCCAGTTGTAAATGGCAATCATACAGGAAGTATCCGTCTAAAAGCAGCTTGAGGTGCATTTTTAGTAGACACTTCCTCTCTGACTAGAACCCCTGGCAGTGGCATCCAGACTTTGCCATGCCATACCTACTAAGCTGATTGAATGGGTGTGCGTGACTGGTAGTGTTGAATGTGCCTTCAGCATACCATTGCATACCATTGCATACCATTGCATACCATTGCTTATCAAATTTCAGAAATTACCAAGATAAACGACCGTCATCTGCATAATGTAGTAACGCCTGCCTGTCTATGCATACATGTACAGGTAGCTGACCGACACACACACACACACACACACACACACACACACACACACACACACACACACACACATGCACACACACACACACACACACACGCACACACACACACACACACACACACACACACACACACACACACACACACACACACACACACACAGAGTCTCTCTCACCTCCACATTGAAGAGCAAAGGTGGATCATGGGTGACTGGCACCTCGTGACCAAATCCAGAGTGTGTGATGAAATGCGCTTTGAGTGCGCCACTACGAGCTGCCATCAACACAGGTCCACGGTAGTAGAAGAAAGTGTAATTGCCACTATTCTCGAATTTTGATGCCGGCATATGGGGCAGTCTTGCATGTATACCGCTTGGGTCGAGTATACCGGAGATATCTTTGCCATCCAATGCCACGCCTGTGGGTAGCGGTGCTCCGGCGAGATTCAGAAAAGTGACAAAGAGATCCAGTGAGCTGGTGAAGTTCTCACACACTGTTCCCGCTGCTATGGTGCCAGGCCACCACGCCACGGCTGGAACCTGCAGCCACACAGTACATAGGAACATGCAACACCGAGTGAATGAGAGATATCAGTCAATATCACTGATCACAGAAAAAGTGTGAAGCATGGCGGGGAAGGACACCGCAACCTGGGATTTGGATTTGGGGTAGCAACTTACCGTATTTCCTCGATTAATAGACGCGGTCTTTTGTTTTTTGAAGAGGGTTGGATCCCCGGTCTCTTATTTGGGCATGGTCCATTATTTGAGCATGGTCCACTATATTTTCATCGGCACATCGCTGGAAATGGTGGATTTTTAACACGTCATAATATAGAACTTATAACTTCTATATTATGACGTGTTAAAAATCCACCATTTCCAGCGATGTGCCGATGAAAATATAGTGGACCGTGCTCAAATAATGAAAGAAAGCACTAGCCACTACAAAAATTGTAGTTGCGCAACCTAAAATCGCGTCCTTTTTTGATCCACCACGTGTGTTTTTTAGTGCGCATGCGCAAAACGATGAACTCATATAAGAGACCGGGTCTCTTATTCGGGCATGGTCTACTATTTTTCCGTGAGGCGTCTAGGAGGGTCTACTATTTGAGCATGGTCTATTATTCGAGCATGGTCCATTAAAATCGAGGAAATACGGTACTAGCAAGTCAATACAGCCATCATGGGCATGTCATTATCACTATCCTCACACCAAGAAAAGCATGTACACGTAATGTTGAGTTAGGAGTTAGGGAACAGAATGTGAGGAGGCACTGAACAGTTGTGTGCCGCTGAAGTAAACAAAATGATGCCTGGAAAACCTTTGTTATGCCATGAGATTCAAAAGTACATGTACCAGTTCCCACACAGAAATGTGAAAGGAGCTGGTGCGGAAGCCCTGTCAGGCACATTCTTTGTTTTCGCTGCTGGTATGTTACAGTCAAACACCCTAGCCTGTTCATGATGGTATTATGGCATGTGGGGAAAATACACTCACTCTAAATCCACCTTCCCACGAAGAGCCCTTCCCAGTGTCCACATAGCCTAGCTCCTGTGGGGCGTACGTCCCTTGAAACGGGCCGACAACGCCTGCCTGAGTCGGTGGAGGTGTGTACCATGCGCCGTTGTCCGAGGTGAACACCACCAGTGTGTCCTGCGCCAAGTTCATCTTAGTCAGCGTATCCATCACCTGTGCACACAGAGTACGCAATGACCGGTGCTAGACCATTGCCGTGTCACCACAGCAGCTACAGAATACTCCGGTACTACACAAAGGTACTGTCAGGGTAGGGACAATATCACCTTTTTGTGTGATGACCGATTCAATTCGTGAACTCGAGTTACGAAATCGTAACTGTTCGCCCATCGTGCATGGCGAATACAAGTACTTGTAGTGTGTGTGTGCCATACACACCCGGTACTGGGGGTAGCAGCACAGTTGGAAAAATCGTTCTGCTTCCCAGCAGGACTTGAACTTTTGTCGGGCTAGACCATCCCACTATGCCTGCTTACAGTGCACATAACGTCAAGAGAATACGTACATGTATGCCAAGAAGACGTAAGTTCATGTGGAAATTATTCAAGCACAGGACCACCCAGTATCGTGACATCACTGAATTAAAAACACTACCGGGTACCACAATGTGGGACTGACTACAGCCCCCCCCCCCCCCCCCCGCCCCCACCCTGCCGACACTGAACTGTGCTTTCGGCAGCAGACTATCCGGAATAATGTGCATATCAACCACACGCGGCTTTAGAGTTCGATGTGATCTATGATCTATGCAAATTGCAATACGCAACTGCAATCAAGGCCATGCCCTAGATGAGCATTGGCGTCCGCAAGCGTGCAAATATCTATCCTACTTCAGAGGTGACTGGAACGTGCAGCCCCGCAGAGCAATTTATGGCAACAGGTGGACCGAACGGGGGTTAACCTCACATTGTTTACGTTCCACTCACCCAGGTCGTCTTCCTAGATGCTTCTACTCCACGTAGAAGCACATGCTTCACATACTCATGATTTACTATGTGTATGGCCATCTGTGCTAGCATGCAGCGTCAACCAACTACGATTGTGATATGATTGATTTACCTGTCCGACCACCCAGTCAAGAGCTTCTGTCGCAGCCCCATACGGTCCGCGGAGGCTTGTGAAGTTGGCAGGGGAGTACACGGGAGAGTGGGTGTTGTCCATGGCGAGGTAAAGGAAAAATGAATTGTTGGCATTGTTGGAAATGAACTGAGTTGCCTGGTCAGCATAACGGTACACCAAGTCTTCACGCACTATATCTGAAGGCACACCAAGTTAGGCAAATACATACACTGTGCTTACACAAGAGAAGGTGGAAGAGTGTCAGTACTGGCTGCAAGTAGAGTTTCACGCAAAGCGATCCTCGCGCAGGCAACAGTTGAAACAATGAACCTGTGAAACTCTGAGTTTCAACCAGAAACACTGTTTTTAAGCCTTTCTTGGCGTGAGAAAGCTATACCCGTTGACGGTTCGGGTAACGAGAACTCTGTGAGAAGACCTTGCCCGGTCGGGCATCAAGCACTCTGTAAGCAGTGCAAGACCTCTACTGGTACTGTCCACAATGTAGTCATACCACTCATCATGATCTGTGTACTCAAATCATGAAACTTGCATGTACGAACTACTTCAAGACTATTTTGATCGTTGAATTTGTTTCGTAAAGACAACAAACAGAAACAGCACCGCTACTGCAGGTAGAGAAGTGGAATAGATTTAGTTACGACTGACCTACACCGATGCGTCCCACTTTCTCGTGATTCTGGAATACAGGAACAGCAGGATAGGAGGGAGGGCCTTCGCAGTGTGTGACGGGTGTTCCGTAGAAGTAGTCAAAGCCATGCCTAGAACAAGCAGAGAACACTCGCCTGTCATTTTATAGTGAACCATGCATGCACGTTTTGTCACATCACAAGTTGGTCATAAACTTGTGGTACATGTACATATGTAGTTTCAGTCAATTCGACTGGAAGACTAGAATCCAAGACTGTATACGCTCAACTCATCACTTGAAGACATACATACAGGCAGGCAGACAGATCGGACAGGCGGATAATGACTACAACGAAACACGTAATGTAAACTGTGCCAGCATGCACAGAGTACGCATGGACATATCATCACTTACCCAACGGGAAGCAAAGTAGTGTTCTCATAGGCATAACCCTGTCAGTGAAGAAAGCATCACATGTACACATGCACTTGTATCAGTGAAACACAAAACACTACAACCAGACCATGTACATGTATCAGAGAACACACAGAACACTACAGCCAGACCATTGACCAATCTCAGCTGTCTAGTGTGTAAAATTAGCAAATACGAAGAGTTCTAAACAAGGCACACACTTGAGTCAATAAGTTCCATCAGGAACCGTACCATGTGGGTAAAGACAACTTGTCAAGTACAATGATCTGGGATACACATGTATGAAGCGCTATGCTCGTTTAGGTGCAGTCTGCCTTTGCTAGAGCTGTTACCAGCACAGCACTGTTGCTTAGCGCAACCAGCAACTCTGACTCGGCTTATGTCTTACCAGATGCCACTTGCCGATAGCCATGCTAGTGTAGTTGGCTGGTTTGAGCGCCTCGGCAATGGTCACCTCGTCCAATGGCAAGTGTCCATAGCATGACGGGTGAACAACACGATGATCGCCGGTGTGTGGCTGGATGGTGGACTCGTTGCCAAATATGCCGCTGCGTATCGCGTACCGTCCTGTCAGAATGGCGGCTCTGCTTGGACTGCAGATCGAGTGGGCGGTGTTCCACTGGGTTAGCTTCATACCCTGGGTTAGACACAACCGTGACAGTACACAGCGTTTCGATACAGCTTATTACAGCCTGAACTGAAGAGTGATCTAGCGGCTCCAGCATGTTCTGAATTCATCCTCTGTGACAGGCTAGTACCCTCGCGGCTTATCCTCCACAATATGACCACAACAGGGTCAGGTGATGGGGAACACTTGGAATAATTATACTATTCACACATATCTGCCGGATGAGTACGCGTGGCCCATGCACCATGGGGACCCTTTGAAAAATTAAAGGAAATATATTCAAGGGCCTCTGGTTTTTGCCCCCCCCCCCCCCCCCCCCGAGAAAAGTCCAAATGGATTTAGAGAGGACATGTATTGCATCTCTGGTGCTCACATGCTCCGTCAACTTCGCTAATAACGGCTGCGGATATATCGACAATTCACGAATAACGACAGAATTGCCATGCCCAGAGCAAAATCCCATCTAACTGTAATACCGTTGAGTCACCTCCACCACCACACTGCGCTCTTTAGCCGACTGTCGCACCCTGTATTAATAACTGTAATACCGGTACATATAATGAGACTTCGGGTATAAGGACACTTCGCGAATAAGGACACTTTTCTGATGCCCCGCCGAGTGTCGTTATACGCAAAGTTGACTGTGTACCATGGCAGAACACAACACTGTGGGCAGTGGGATCATCTGCACCTCCTATGACACGTATAATATTATATACACACTGTGGGGAGGTGCGGAATCCGTGCTTGCTTCACCCTCAAGTGGCAGTGAGATCCGCATAAACAGGGACCTTATGATGGGCCATGTGCGGCCCTAGTTTCTACGTTGTTTGAACTTAGTTGCACTTGGTCATACAATTTTGATTTTCCTTTCCCTGGCTGTAAATCAGGGTGGGGCACTGTGACTGTGGCGGTACTATGCGGCATATGTAATATCATGTTTAGAAGAGAAAATGCCGAGATTTTGCACCTCAGCTTCATGTAATGCCCTCCCACCTAGTCAGTCTCAGCTCACAGGAAGAGATCGTGCCGTGGAGCCCCTCAACAAGTTTTAACCTGCTAGCAATAATACAGGCATTACTATACCCTTTCTTGCTTTCTACCCACCCGGACAATCCGTCTGGAGATACACTTGTCCCCCATGCTCCTTGCCAACAGACAGAGAGAACCTACTGTAGTGTGGTCGGTAGCTAGCTACAGTGCTGCTCAATGAAATCCAGCCACGTCACTCAAGTATGCCGCGCCGGGCGTTGCGGAGCCTCAGACCTGCGAACACTGCACTGGGCTGCGAAATGGTGCAACGTGCACACTATTACCTGAGTGGCGCGACTGAGTGACGTGACTGGATTTCATTGAGCAGTACTGGCATGTACACAGGGGCGTGCTCGGTTCCCCTTCCAGGGGGGTGCACCACTTCCAGACAACAGCAATTTTCAAAAGGTGGTTGTACCGGTGACATCATACAAAGATTGTACATGTATGTCATCAAGAATGAACATACAGTACAGCATCATATCAATTTTTTCAAAATAAAGGATGAAAACTTTACAAATCTTTAAAAACCAATCTAATCCGTCGACGGCACTGTGCCAGGCAGGCCGATGCAAGCACGTATTGTATGGATATACATGTAGCTAAGAACAATCGCAACACTACGTTGACGTATCTGGACAGGATTCGGCGAGGAGAGCGTCGAAAGAACAGCTTCAGCACCTCATCTGTGGATGTGCTCCCGCGAGGTCGGGCTTTCCGCAATACATTGGTGACTTTTCAAAACCCCGGTCGAAATATTTTGGGGGGGGGGTGCACTTGCCCCCTGTGCCCCTCGCTGAGCACGCCCCTGTGTACATGTACCTCTCCAATCTCATTCCCGGATTCCCAGTCTCCAATCTCATTCCCAGATTCACAGTCTCCAATCTCATTCCCGGATTCACAGTCTCCAATCTCATTCCCGGATTCACAGTCTCCAATCTCATTCCCAGATTCACAGTCTCCAATCTCATTCCCGGATTCACAGTCTCCAATCTCATTCCCGGATTCACAGTCTCCAATCTCATTCCCGGATTCACAGTCTCCAATCTCATTCCCGGATTCACAGTCTCCAATCTCATTCCCGGATTCACAGTCTCCAATCTCATTCCCGGATTCACAGTCTCCGCTACAGCGGTACAAAGGCACTATTACAAGTTTTAAGTACCGGCGTAAAATACCGTTAATCCGCCCCACACGATGTCGCTTCCCAGCTGGGTTTTCGGCAGGGGGGGGGGGGAATTAGATCAAGGCTGTGAAGTGCAGTACGATGTACAACAACGTCGAGGATCAGACTCGATGTGCTGGATTGTGCACATTTTCATCCTGGATTGGCACGGATTGTGTACAGCAGTGCAAGCGTCGGTTCAACATCGTATTTCGTTGCATACGCCGAAATCGCTCCACAGCATACTTGCCAACCCTACCGGAATTTCCGGGAAAATCAAGGAAAACTCGCTTTCGTCCCGGTATACCGGAAAAGTTATAACAAGTTATACCGGATTTTCGAAAATGTCCGTCAACACCGTTTTTGTTGATTTTCGGTGTTTTGGACGCTCGCTCGCAGTGCTGGGCGCCCAAACGAAGGTCTAGCGAGCGAGAATTTTTTGAGTTATACGTTAGCGCATGAAAACGTACTTTTTTGTCGTACATGCTGTACTATTTGCGACTATTTTGTAGTCATGGTGACGTCACTATTAAGCCTTGACGGATTATGATAATATTTTCGTGAAATTATGCTTTTCGCATTGCTGAAAAAATTGCAGAATTATGCTATTTTTATGCTAAAAGTTATCATATTATGCCGCATTAAGCTCACATATGCTGCTAATGTATAATGGTTCTGTGCAAAATAACAGGGGAATTTTTTTGAAGAGGGCATTGGGGTCAACGCACTGTCCGATCTAGCTACGACCGTCACTGATTGTAGTGGACTGGATATGTTATCATGGGAGTCGTAAACCTATGACTTCCTGGTGCATCTACTTGTACTTGTACTTGTAGAACATGTACAACTGTATGGAATTTGATGCGAACAGGCGGATTATTCCAATTTATGCGATTCATATGCAATTTGCCTCGAATTATGCGATTATTCGATTTTGGTAGAAATTATGCGAAAATTTATGCTAGCATAATCCGTCAAGGCCTAGTCACTATGATGTCATATACAATATTTTGCATGTAAAAATTGCAGATCAAGGAAAATGGGCTAAATCAAGGAAAACGCCACGGTCATCAGTGTAAAGGAAACTGTTTGCCAGGGGTTGGCAAGTATGCACACTGTAGCACAGGTAGAAAATCGACAGGTGGCGGGAATTAGAGAGGGGGCGGATCAACGGTACTTTACGGTACGGTATGTGTAATTAGTTTGGAAGTAATAGTTTGGTGGCAATTTTTTTTACATGTATGACGATTGATTTGGCACTGCCAGACCTCTGTGGTGGAGCCCGGCATGCACTTGCCTACTTGCATGCCTGGAATGCTGAATGAAGTCACCGAATAGTCATTGAAGGAAGATTACTGAACCATGAGTTAGTTACAAATTGTGTCGGAATGGTGGTGCTGCTGTACCGAATCATAATCCCGAATCAATGGCATACACCCTAGGCCTAGGTCAAACAGTATGAAAGAAAGACGGATAGAACCCGCCTCACTACAAGCTAGGGCCCGGCCAGTACTCAGGCTAACCTCGGCAGCCATCCTGTTGATGTTGACCGTTCTCGTCGTGGGGCTTCCGAAACATTCCAAGTCGAAGCCAAAGTCATCAGCGAAGACGATAACGAAGTTAGGAGGCCGAGCGTGCCCAGCGCTAACCAAACCGCCCACTATAGCACAGGCTAGGAGGTGTAGCGAGCCTGCCATCTTCCTAATAAACATTGTGAGGAATCCCTAGGATCTAGGAGGCGTTTTGGTGCAGCAGGAGAAGATACACTGACTGTCTGTGAGCACCTAGTACCTGAACAAGCTTCACACCTTCACTTCAGGCTTCGCTCAACGGGTGACAGTCACGAGTCAGTCAGTGTCTGCGGCCATGATCCCATTCTCTCGGCCGTATAATAGTCACAAATAATGCATAGCAGGACATGCAAACAAACCGTGTGCACATCCCACGCACAAACCATGATGATTTTGTACAGTCAAAATAATACTTTGTTTGGTTGACAGCATGTTACAAGGCGAAGGTAACATACCGGTATGCTGTCAACCAAACAACGTGTTTTTAACCAATACTAATACTAGTATTGCTTATTTAGTATTAGGGTAACACTACTAATAAATTTGAAGAAGGGCTGAGGCTTCCTGCAGCTTCATCTGTGAAAAGAATTCGGGTGGACACACCCATTCCCATAGCGCTGCACATCACATCCGAACCACTTCCGTTATTTTTACAACGTTTCGGCACTTGGCCATCGTCAGGTAATAACCATGATAACAATGAATACCGTGGAAGCCACACAAGAGCAGTATACGCAGAGTGTAGCGCCAAAAAAGATGCGAATTATGTCACCTAGTATGCAGAAGGGGGGGGGGGAAGGGGACAGAGAGAGAGAAGGTGCAACTAGCACATCACGGAGAAGAAGCAGCAGAAGGTAGCGCGCATTGTGCTCTGTGAAGTGAGGGCGCGTGCCATGGCGTTACGCAGAGTGTAGCGCCAAAAAATATGATGCGAGTTATGTCACCTCTAGGCAGAGGGGGGAGAGAAGGTGCGACTGTGCACATCACGGAGAAGAAGAGTGCGCCATTGTGCTCTGCGAAGTGAGGGTACATGCCAAATAATTATGGTGTTAATTCTAGCACATTACAGCAGGGGACCACGGAGGCCAATGCGCCAATGCACTATGCGGTTAATGACAGGAGCTGTATTTGCAGAAAGCAGAAGACATAATTATTATTATTATTATTTTGCTTGTTCGCGTTGGCATCAACCTGCATAAAGCAGGTATATAGCCTTCGCTTAAGCTGCCATAAAAAAGAAAGCTCATCCTAAGCGAGAGGGCTAGAGGGAAATATAACGATAACGAGATACAGAATACAAAGAAATCCAATGAGTTCAACGTACAATTCAAAACAAGAAAGAAAGGGAAGAAAAACAGAGCCGAATCTACCGATTGATCCATCAATCGACAAAGGGGACTAATCCGTTAGTGTTGCAAAGTAGAAGCTGATTATAGTTGCAGATCTCCAGGCCAGGGCCAGCATATTGCCGATTCTGGATAGGTCTCCGCAGCATTTGATGTGGTAATTATCATAATGTTTGATAAAATTGTTAGAGTATCTAGTATCTAGAGTACCGAGTCTCTAGTATCTAGAGTATCTAGTGTAATTGTATCCGTTATTATTGTTAAGGGTATCTAGTGTAATTGTATCCGTTATTATTGTTAAGGGTATCTAGTGTAATTGTATAACTTCAGCCATTACACACAGCACACATTAGATCCTTCCACTTTCGACGATCCTGGGCGAGCTGCCTCAGTGCAACTAGATCCTCGTGTGATGTGAGGGAGTTTGTGGATCTGGAATTTTTCAGGTCGTTGAGAAGACATAATTATTATCAAAAATCCGTAGAGCCGATACGGATTTGGGCACGGAAAATCGTACCCCGGAACCTCTAGCTCTATTAGTATTAGTAATACCTGACGATGGCCAAGCGCCGAAACGTTGTAAAAATAACGGAACTGGTTCGGATGTGATGTGCAGCGCTATGGGAATGGGTGTGTCCACCCGAATTCTTTTCACTACTAATAAAGTAATAGCAAGAGTACATAACCCATTGGTTATGTACTCTTGGTAATAGTAATACAGTGTAGTCATGTACATGTAGATCTACAATGTACTTGTACTGTTGTCATGGTTGTACAGTGTAGTCGATCGGATGATCCACCCGTGACACATGCACACCAGTCCAAAGTTCAGGATATTACTGGGACTGATTGAGTTGTACTTGTACTTGTAAGTTGTAGTACGATGTAGGTGGAAACCGTGTCGACTGGATCATGACATGAATGCTCAGTCCAATGCCATGGATGTGCTTGGCCAACGTATGACTGTACATACGAGTACAATGACGTACATACATGTACTGTGATGTAGTCATTACTACATGTAGATACGCCTTGTTTATGTTTGGTTGACTCCGCCTTGTAACATGCTCTCAACCAAACAATATACTACTACAGTACAATCATGTTGTTGGTTGACAGCATGTAACAAGGTGGAGGACACCATGTTCGGAAACAGTGACCTTTCTACAGCCATCCACGGTTGGTAGAGTCCCGGTCAGTTGCGACCATCTGCACCGTATGGGTGTTAGACCCGGTTCTGACCATCTCTATTCTAGGGAGTTGTTTTAGACTTCTCGCAACGTCAGATGAGTGCACAATTGATCTTATTTATTGCCATTTTTACAACTATTGTCTCCTCGTTGACTGATACTACAGTGCGTTTTTTTATAATAGACTCTGAAAACCTTGAGAACGTACTCAAGGACACTTTTGAGAAAATGTCATGCGAGTTGCGTCACGAAAATCTGCGCGCGAAATTCGAAAAACCAGGTGTGACTCGTGGCATTTCGCCATCTTGTTCAGAGTGTCCTTCGAGCTCCTTGCCTCGTGGCCTGAGGAATCATTTTGTTGCTGACTGCTCTGTGGCCCTATTTTGCTTTTTCTCGAGTGTCTTTTCGTTCGTGGCAACTTGTTCTCTCGACATGCCACATAATTATAACAAAACGCGAACGGGCCATGGTACATGGTGGTGTCTGTTTTACAATTTGTTGCGAAGACGAGGAGAACAATGGCTGGGCATCGAATTGGCCCCAAGTATTCCATTCGTCATGCTGCTGTTGCGTGTGGCGTCAGCATTTCCACCATGAACAGATGTACCAGGGATGCTGACGGCGAAAATCAGCGTGCTGCGTTGGCCTTGTCTGTCTCCAGTGATGAAGGCAACGAGAGTGACAATCCCCGATGTGAGACTCGTGCCATGAAACCACTCAACCCTGACGGATTTGCTTTGGACTGTATAAGAAATAATTTACGGATTCTATGCTGCGAAGGAGGACCCAACACTGGACAAAGTTCCTGCTCGCTGCAGAGAAACCATCGACGATTTTCCAGACATGAGCAAAACTAGCTCTTGGAAATGGTTGTTCCATGGGATTCCAGTGTGGCAAGACCAGAGGTATCACACAAATAATGATGGAACAGCACAGGATTGTGTCATGGCGGCATCGCTACCTGTGAGACATACCTGGATGAGACGTGGGTCAATGCGCATCACACAGGTACTAGGAGGTGGTACGACAATGGTGACAGGAGTGGCAAGCAACCAAATGAAGCACCATCAGGTAAAGGCAAGCGCGTTATTCTGCATACTGGTGGACGGGACAGATTCGTGAAAAACTGCGCCGATGTGTTCGTGACTGGAGGCCGGCGCCAACGATGATATACGTCGTCGGCTGTCCGAGCACATCTGTTCACTGTGTAATACTGTCGTCACAAGTGCAACACAAAACACGGAATTATTGGGGCCGTTTCGTTCCTCGCTGGTCTTCTACTATTCGCAGATGTTGAACCAGACACAACTGTGACCTATTTGCATTGTGTGTGTTGGTGTGTTTGTAAAACTGCTCATGCTTCCTTTTTGTTAGTCTCTTTATGGGAGCTGTGTGAATTGCCTTTGTGATTTGTTGTGGTGTTTGAATTTTCACTGCATTCTTTCAGGGATCGAGGGAAGTTTCCTACATGCATGCTGGAATGTTTTGATTTATTGAGCTAATTGCAATACAGGATTTGAATTATCCAGTACAGTTTGCCACAGTAAGTCGTGAAAAGCCACGACTCACTGATTTCCTACAAAGGTTAGGAGAACTGCAGACAGCAGTGCACAACTGCACAGCCGGCCATGTGCATGTACATGTACATGCATGCGCTGTGCTACAGTATACCGAAAAAGAAAAGAAAAAAAAGAATCAAGGTGAACTGTACTGGATTCGAACTCATGCCGGGCACCATGCAAGTGATGAGCTTTCCTGGCTAAAACTTCTGTTTAAAAAATCAAAATCCACTGAAAACCATTTAAAACCGGATTTCCAGCCGAAACCCGGCCGAATATCTAACTTTGACAATTATTATTATTCCGACTCCCAAACTTAATTTTCTTCGATCCAAGACCCACACAAACGCAGCTGTGAAGAAAAAATTTCAAATTTGGAATGAGAACAAACTAAAAAATCAAAATCGACAATGGTCTGTTATAAAAAAACGCACTGTAGTGTTGGACAATACATTAGACAGGTCCAAAGGCGTGCACAAGGTATTACATGTATGGTGCAAATAACAGTCTTCTGGCTGGGGAGAGTGCTGAATGTTCAGGCAAACAGAGCGATCTTACACACAAGTTACAGAGCACCACGTACCTTCGTTGTAACTACTAGTAATAGTTTCATGCCTGGGAGTTTAGGCAATCATCAGACAACTGATAATGCTGAATTACAGTGGACTGCCTAAACAGTATACGTGTACATGTTGTTCAGTGATGTAATCTGGGCATGGGAACTGGAACAGGGTCGGGCAGGGCGCCAGTTTTGCACTTCAGCAAAGAAAAGGTAATAGTATCGGTAGTCGGCACCATCATGCATGCATGAGTGTCTTATTCTGCAACCAGGTATGATTCACTCAGATCCTGTGCATGTTTATCATGGATACAACAACGCATTCAACAATTACACACAGCCAGCCTCCTATTCTACTAGGAAGCAAACACACAAGCCAGACATTCCATCACATTGCCCTTGACAGTGACCTACCATATCGTCCGAATATCTCACCGACCTCATTTCATGAACTGAACACGCAAGTGCAGCTACTTGTAAGCACTGCCAGGCCGGGGTGTTAATAACGGAGAGGTTACGGTTTCCAAATTTCAGCAAACACGTTTCAGAGGTTATTTCAGCTGATACTTTGATGCAGGCCGGTGTTACATTTCAGAAACCTGTTTCTAGACAGTCCGGATGTTGTAGCCAAGCAATGGCGACAATATAATTCTAACCTACTCCGATAAAGCCAATGGGCATTTGTCAACATACGAAGCAAGAAGTCGTACAAAAGTGCGCACACCACTGCAAATCTTGCAAGAATGTTGCACCTTACGCACTGCCAGCGGGGTGAGCCAAGATCTGAAGTCTGTTTCTATTAGGAACAGGTCATCTTTCGCCACAGACTTTCCAAAAGTTCGACTACAGTAGAACACGTTAATTTAGCTACATCCGAGTACTAATTTAGCTACATCCGAGTACTAATTTAGCTACATCCGAGTACTAATTTAGCTACATCCGAGTACTAATTTAGCTACATCCGAGTACTAATTTAGCTACACTACAATTTAGGTGTCAGAAGCCTGCTGGGAATAACGTGTGAAACAGTACTTGTTCACATCTCATTCGCTGAATCAGAAACATATTTCCAAGATCCGGTAAGTGAACATGATATGACTCTAATCTCAAACCCCCTGAATGAAAATACTGCAGAGCTGGAAGTGGAATGCACTTAAAAAAAGAAGAAGAAAGATATGCCAATCACAATCCATTTCATAGTCACTGTGAGCTGCTCAAGCATTCAGACAAAGAAAAAGAATTCCTAGAAGTAAAACGAAGTAGCAACACATCATTCAAGCAAACCTACCGTACCAGTACTGTATTCAAAATTCGCAAGCGCCAGACACTACTAAAGAAAAATTCTTCAAAGTAGATTCAAGTGATTGCAAGGCATATCGGGGTATTTATACATGTATGCATGTACTCTAGGAAAGGAACCAGCCTCGTGTACCTAAGACTAAGTTAGTCTTTTAATTTAGACATACATATAGTACTTGTAAAACATCAGACAACAGTACTAAACCATACCAGCCTCCAAATGGAAGGGGAGAGGTGTGGCAGGAGTACAACGACAACGCGAAGATTATCAACCTACGAACGAGCCACTGGTTGAAAACACCCCTCGTCTTTCTCTCCATAGCAACAGCCGGGCCAATGATAGTTTCTTCCTCCATCAGCCCCTTGCATCATTCTTCATCATAGTACCTTTGCTTCATAGACCTATACTTGCGTAGGAAGTAAAGCGCCTCAATCTCCTTCACAACAAACTCACCGCGTGCTATCATGGCCCTGATCTTCTCTGGGTCCGTTTCGTCTTTGTTTTTCATGAACGCTCGATGCAAGTTCTCGCGAAACTTCTCTGGTCCGCCGGGATACTCACGTCCCATGTACAGCAGCTGCGGCCCACAAACAAACAGGCCACAGTCATCATGGAAAGCTTCACGTGCATGCTCATGCACACTGACACAGACCGTATACAGTACATAGTACCACTGCCAAGGCAACAAGAGGCAAAGTCAGACAGAGCCAGCCAGCACATGGGCCAAGTAGACAATGCTGGCCAACACAAGTGCCCCAGGCTGATGGTGCCACTACTTTGGTCAACACAGAGTCCTTGATACAAAAGTGCAGGGATGCAGGCATTTATACTTGATACGGGTGGGGTAGGGGAAACAAACAGTCGACCCATGTATCTATGTGCAACTACATGTATTGCATTGTCACAAAAAATGCAACGCACGGGTGCACAGTGCACTGCAGCCGCAACGATGGACTTGTGGCCGCATTTTCACTGCGTGAAGTGAATAAAAAACAATCGTAAATGAGTAGGGTGGTGCGCTGCGTCCCCTACATGTATACACCTCTTTGCCTAGAACCATGTGAAGGCTACACAAAAACACAATACGTGTAGCAACCTTTTGCGAACCCACTTGTGACTGACTCCATGCAATGTATGCAAGGTCTACAAGTAACTTAATGCCCCTCCCTCCCCCCCCCCTGCATGGTCCAAGTCTTACCTGCTTGTATAGCCGTTTCACAGCATATCTCAATTCTGTCGGGCTGGACATCATCGGCGCACGGTACTTTTCATGATCAGCTGCCAGGACAAACTATTTACTTCAAGCACAACTGCAATGTAGACCTGCGCCACTAGTAGCGGCACTAGCACTGCCCGCACACGTACTATCACTGAATAGTACTACTACTACTACTACTACTAGCAGGTGAGATGAGTGTATAGATACATGTACCAGTATAAGAGTCTGTTCTATTTCTACAGTACTGGTCACTTCGAAGTACATGTAGTGGTACTGGCTGTGCTGTAGTTTGTGGAGATACCAACCTCGCGCACTCCTTTGATCCTTTGAGCAGATCTTGTAGAAGTTCGTTACGGTTAGTCAGACTACAAGCACAATGCCTATAATTAGTATGCACCTACTTTCAGGAACTCAACACGTCCTACGAGTGCAGTTGCTAGGATTTCTTGAATTTCTTAATAAAACCCAATGGATCGATCGCGCTCAAACGAGCGGGGTGTTTCCTGATGAAGCTGTATGGCAACAGTACCAGTGCACTTCGGACCTCGTTGAGTATGCCTCAGAAGCGGATATTTCGACCAACGTCCAAGAAGTAAGGGAGAAGTGTAGGAACAAGTGATCAAAAATGTTTCTTTGACTTCAAAAAAACATGTAGAAGAAGTTAGAAGCTTCCTAGTATTTTTCAAAGTTCAAAGCTAAGCCTAAAGCCGAAACCATGGAAACAGTGATTTTCTACTTCACACTCGACGTGACTCGTACCGCGTACCGATCGTAATGTCATAATTATAATATGCATAAAATTATGCGCATGTAGATGCAGTGCAGTGTACTGTGTACATGTGTAGTACTACTACTAGTACTCAGTACTACTGAGTACTACATGTAGTAGTAATCTAATTATTATTTTCAGAAATTTTAGGTGCTCAATATTTTCGGTATGAGGGCAAATAATTTTTAAATAGGTGAACAGAAAATTTATTTAGAGAAGCAGTTCCGGACTATGTGTGTTAGTGTTTGTTCGGTGTATTGAAACTTTAGGTATGAAACAGACGCACCGAAAGTACCGAAAATAAAAGTACACCGAAAATTTGTGAAATTACAGTACTGCATGAGAGTGGCTCAGCCCTACTCACACCAAGAGTTCATAATCCCCATGAACTCTTGATGATGTGCCTGACTGTGCTGGTCCCCATACGTACATGTACACCAGCAGTACAGGGCCACAGTGCAGCAAATTTTTCTTAAAGCTGCATTTACCACGCAATGAGGGCAGCCTACCAGGGAACCAAAGGCCAAGAGTCCATAATTCCCCCGGGGGATAATGGACTCTTGCTGGAACTGGTTCATAGAAAAGAGAACACAGTTGCTGAACTCTTGAAGAAATTCACTAGACGCAATTGACAGGCACTCTGCGCACAGACATGACTAATGTGTGTCGATGTCAGTCCGAGCGGATAACTCTTGGAAAATCTCCACAAAGCTCTGGCCATGCACACACACGCACGCCCATGCACACACACAAACTAGAACAGACAGCAGTTGGACTCAAAAGTCAAAACCAAAAAATCACCTAACATACGTAATATAAAAAATTATGAACACTGGAACGGACACGATAGGATAAACTCCACAGAATGCAATCCGCACACGACCATACAATACAACCACACAAACATACTTAAAAAATTTCAACAGGATGAGAAAATAGTTTTCTAAGGAACAAAACATTTTTCGAGAAGCTCAATTGGAGTCGTATTGAAAAAAGAACAAGACATCGGAAACACGAGTGACCAACATGTGGACTGGAAAAGAAAATCCCACATGAGATCTGCTAGTAACATAAGTTGCAATTCCCCGGTACTACTGGGTGTGCGCGCGCATGGAGTGAGGGAATCCAACAGGTGCACCGGCTAATATCCGGTGGCAATATCCGGTGCTAATTTCAAAAAAGTCTAAGTAGAAACAGCAATAGGCGTACTAAAACAGTGCTAAAGCAGCACCCTGGCTGCTATAGTACGCACAGCGGTTGCAATCAGCAATCGGCTAGTCCCGAGAGCCTACGCCTAAGTGGTAGCGTGCATCTAGCTGACTATATGAAATCTAGAACACAGTCAGCTTGTCTAGTCCTGTAAGCGTGACGGGCATGTACTGGCCAGCGGCTTACAAACTACTGTAAGTTCACAATTGGAGGCGATTCATCTAGTCCCGGGAGCGTGGGTGACGAGCGTCTTGCACATCTATCATCGACAGCAAAGGTGGCGGTGGGGCACTACCAGGTGACAGCAGTGGAGACTGTACGTGTAGCTGACTTTGTGGAATCAGACCAGGGGGGCCAGGGGGACCAGGAGGGCTGATCATGGCAGCTTGGCTGGCCGGGACGCTATTGGGCATCAGTGGTAGGGAAATGTCTACAGCAGCCGAATGATATTCATTACCTGATGGCGGGAAGTGGCCAGACGCACTTGAGGCTGTAGGAGACATAGCTGTAGAAAAGCCGTCGGGCTCTCCATTCATTGGCATTCCGTTCTCCTCATACAAGTAGTTGCCATACTGCTGCTGCTGCTGGTGCTGCTGGTAGTTTCCCTCCCAGTTGCCATCAGCGTAGCTTTGCTGGCCAGCTTCTGCCTTGTAACCTGGACTTGACATCAAGGGTGACACACCATGTTCGATAGCATAGTAGTCTTGGCTGGGCATTTCGGACGACATCATACCTCTGTCGTCGCCATCCACCATGCGCAGGTCGGGTGGAGCAATGTCGCTGTGCATACCAACACTCTGGTGATGGTCAACATGATCCGCCGCTGGCAAGTGATGGTCACCACCATCCAGTCGAGTTGGCCTTGACATCTGCGAACTCGATGCATGCTGATTATAGTCGACGTGTGCCGGTGCATCATGGCCGTATTGATAATACCCGTCAGTTGGGAGCTGCTGTTGCTGCTCCGCTTGCTGTGCAACACTGGCTGTGTGATCAATACCATAGTAGTCTTGTTCGTGTTGATACTGGGCAGTATGATGATTCTGTAATGGATAATCTGGAGACGGCATGTGCTGCGCCCGGTAACCGTCGTCATGCTCAAAGCCATGCGGCTGATGCATGGGGGAGGATTGATGCACTTCCATTCGCCTATCACCATGATTGCCATCCCGGGTTGTTCGTGACATACCGACCCTCGAGGAGGCTGCAGCCACTGGACGTGCAGAGGCACCAGCAGCACGACTGTTTCGGTTCCCGCCGCCGCCGCCGCTTCTGCCACTTCCAGTCGGATTGGTGTGCGTTTTCATGTGCTTTGACAGATGATCGCTACGCATAAAGCGCTTGTCACAGACCGAACAAGCAAAGCGCTTCTCGCCGGTGTGTGTTCTTGAATGCCTCTGCAGCTCGTCGGAGCGTGTGAACCGCTTTCCACAGTTGGCAAAGGTACATTCAAACGGACGTTCCCCGCTATGCCAGCGGAGATGAGCGCGCAAGTGAGATGTCTTGCCATACTGCTTATCGCAGCCTAAAGGCATTCGCAACAAAAGAAGACAGACAAAATGAACACAAACTATGAGTCAGTATGCAGAAGTAGGCAGTGTTTGCTGGGACAACAGCAGGCGCTTACACACACCATACACGCAATACCACATTCACATAGCGGGAATGTTTATGCCTGCCAAACTTGGACACATGTTTAAACGCAAACATGCCATTCATATGCCCAGGACCATTGGCCGCACTGCAGCAACAGGCATATATGAATCTAGCAATGATTTTGAATGACACAGCTAGTAAGTCAACACCAAGAGCTGAAGAACACAGCAAACATTCTACACACGCATGTACTCGTAACTAAGGTCATGCCAGGACTCCCCCGGGCATGGTTTGAGCCCCCGTCCACATTATCACGCCCATGGGTAAAATAACGCATTCGCCGAGTGCGCACTGTGGACGCACTATTCGGACTCGCAACTCCATGCGCAGGCTGCAGACCATATTCTGGATAAGAGCAAGAAAACATAAGCCCAAGAGTGTGCAACCACCTGTCCTATCTCTTGGCAGTGCTGCGACCACAGAGCTTCATAGCACCTAGCATGGTTCACTAGGTTACGCTGGCAAACAGTGCAAATCGACCACCGGAGAGGTGCACACAACGCAGGGTTGCGTACCAACCTGTACGGCTGTAGCCATCATGCACAGGGTGAAGACAGCGTGTACAGGTTTGTCCCGTGATGTGAAACTCTGTCGTCGCCAGCCCTGTAGACTGCAGCTGCACACTCTTGGGGGCTACTGGTATGTGCCCTTGTTACCGTATTTCCCCGAATATAAGTCTCACCTTTTTAAACTAAACGTCAAGTGCAAAGAAGGGGGTGTGACTTACGATCAAGTGTAACAACCAATTGAATTATTTCATGTGAATATGCTGAAAGAGTATGGCTGAAACCTAAAAACGGGGTGCGACTTATAATCAGGGAAATACGGTACCTAGTAGCCATGTGTGGCAGGAAAGGTACTGGTCCAAATTTGGGCAGAAAAAGTGCGAAATGATGCAGTGCGCATTATACTTTGGTGCACGATATCACACTCGTCCGCTGAAGTCGCTATTACTCGCTACTATGAGGGTGCGTTGGAATTTTGTATAGCTTGTTGTAAAATATATCCTGGAAGCCGAAGAAACTCGTGTAATTTAGGGGTAGTTAAGGGTAGTCGCAAAAGGTTTTTGCCATCCCTGAAACGAACATCATTCATGGGGGGGGGGGGGGGGGGGGAGCCAATATATCAAGTCGACTGACGCTGACTGATACGTGGCTTCTCTCGTACATGCATGCGATTTTCGTTGTCCAGCCTAGCAAGCTGTGTTCATTTCAGAGGGTGTGGAGCTATTGCAATTAGTCGGGTGTAACTGAGAAATCTCAGAAACCCTAATCTGTCGTTTATCTTTAGCTTATTTTTGACGTCAGGGTACGTTACACCTGACATCACGGATCGTGCAGTGCAACAGTAGAATGGTTGAATACACTGTCCATCACTAATCAAAGATGGCGGAAATGACGAATTCCTCTTTCCAGAACCCATATCCGCATATCCAGAGCTGCACACTCTGATTTATGACTGACACTCTAGACGCACTGAGTATCTTGTCTACTGCAAAACTGCTAATTTTAGTGCCGTGATATTGTAGCGACTTTAGCAAAAGGAGTGTTTTCGCTAAAGTTTTGCTGCGCCAATCAACTGTTTGCATATACAGTACAGTACTACAAACGTAGTCATCTTCTTTTTTTACTCTGAAAATTGGATCGCTAAGGTACTGTCGTGGACATGGAAATCCGGTCGCACGTCTGGCTGCCCCCAGGGTGCTGGCCATGCAGCCGTGGGTAAGCGGTACACACACATGCAAGTATGCGCGCGCTGGCCATGCAGCCGTGGGTAAGCAGTACACACACACACACACACACACACACACACACACACACACACACACACACACACACACACACACACACACACACGCATTCATGCGCTGCAGCGCACTGATTGCATCGATCAACATGTGCACTGCGTGCAACACTCTGTACGCGTTGAGGGCACCAGCACCACAGCCCGGTCATTTGACTGGATTTCCATGTCCACGATAGTATTTTAATAATGCAATGAATAACACGAATAGGCGCACTCATATCACAATCATAGCAACGAATTAATGGTTCCAGAACGTTTTCTCGTCACAATTGTCAATGGAAACTCGTGACTGAAGATAAGATCAAAGAAGCAACATGATTTTTTAGGTTTTGTCACTCCAAGTGTATAAATCCTATTGCTATTTTGATATTATCTTCAGTCACTAAAAATGGGCTGGAAACGTACAAATGCGACACTGCACCACGTGATGTGAGTTTTTGCCGTCGGCGTACCCCATAGAAAGGGTATCACGAGTTGCACACTCTTGGGGGGTTATATACTCTTGGTTTTATTCATTGCATTATTAATTTAAGATTATTGTCTCCATGTCGCCTTGCTAAACTATTTCATCGCAAATTGGTCCCGATTCAGAAAACGCTATAAATATTTACCCGCTAAAAAGAGCAGTTCTACAACAAAATACTGCACAGTGAGACTGAGACTGTGAGAGTACAAGGACATGGCATTGAAGGCCCACCAAGCAATGGCCAATACTGCAATATTACCTAGGGACTAGTAGTACTGTATTATGTAGCAGCACACGTCTCTGATAGACTATAGTGCAATCATGTAGTCTACAACATACCTTCATAGTGACAAAGATGCATCTTCTTCTTGACACCCCTGGCATTGACGCTGACATTGTTCACACCACTGGTACAGTTTGGGCACGTACACGCCATGCGACGTGTGCGGGCTGGTCGTTCCTGGATGCTCTGTGCAGACAGCGCCGTTCCACCGGGTTGTAGCGGAACGTTGGCTGGAGATGCTCCTGTCAGCTGCGGGCTGTTGATGCCAATAGCATCGATGGCATTCCTGCCGAAGGCTCTCTCCGTCACTCCGAATCTCGCTGCAGCAGGCGGCGGAGGAAACGCAGCTTCAGCGCCAATCTCCAATGACGGACTATTACCACTGGTGCCACTGGACAACCCCTCGCCCGCAGCATTCGGCCAGCGAGTATCTCTGTTCCAAGACACGTCCGAGTGGCGGTCGAATTGATCCGGATCGTTTACGTCGTCCTCGGCTGCATTCTGCCGCGGCCAGATCGCTGTTACTGGGCGAAGGCGGCTGCTGGATGATGGATTCGAAGGATCGAATAATATATTTAGTTCACCTTCCGTTGCAGCGTCGTACGCGTGCATGTGCGAGCGAGGACTAGAAGAAACTGGGGGTCGACCATTATCCATGTACGGTGCTGTGCGCGCTTGCTCCTCGCTCTTCAGACACTGAGGTGATTTTTGAACAGCGGACGTACTGCGAAACGCTGATGACGGTGATGTCGAGGAGCGAGGTGACTGTAGGTATCTCGCCTCTACAGCTGCACCGCCCGCTGGGGAAGACGACGCCCGCGCGACGTTTCCACCGCTTGGTGTTGCATGGACTGAACTCTTGGCGGAGAATGTCTGAAATGCTGGGCTACCCGCAAAAGGTACGGCAGATGTCGTGCGAGCGCGCATACTACGGCTGTTGGCCGGAGTTGCCTTCACATTCCGATACGCACTGTCATTCGTGTCTTGGCGATCTTCTAGGCCGTCGTGAGCTGCAGGTCGACGAGAATCGCGAGGAGCAGGTACATTGTTACTAATGTTGTAGTCTCGGTTGTCCGAGAACGAGCTATAACAACTCCCAAACTGTTGATCATGTCCCGAACCATACGCTCCGCCTCCGTCACTGCCAGTATCGACAGCACGCGAACTTTCATAATCCAGCATCAGTGAAGCAGCTACGCGCACGGTCGCGCGTCCGTCAGGTTGTTGTTGCCTGCTGCTGCTGTCGCCGGGAGAGTCCAACCTGACATCTTCCTCTCTTAGCTTCAGCGTGTTGTTGTCAGCGTTGGATGCCGTACCCTCCGAGTCAGCAAAGTAGCTAGGGATACTTGTAGATACACTGCTGGGCAAGACGAGGTCGCCGCCGGATTCGTCTATGCCCCGCGCTCGTACAGAAGTTGTTTCTCCACTAACTCTGCGCGTCGGTGTGGTGGCGGAGGTCAAGTCGAACCTGCCTTCGCGACTACAGCCGCCAGTACGGGCAGAATAGGAGACTGGGCCAACCGCGTGCTCAAACTGAGCAGACGCTTGGGTTTCAACGTCTATGCCTATGGTCGAGCCAGCCATGAGTTCTTCCTCGGAGGAGGGCATCTAGCAAGTGCAAAGGGGAGGAGAGAGAGAGAGAGAGGCGCACACCAAAGACTAAGTTACAGAAAGTACAGGGCTGAGGCCAACACACAAATGTCACGTCTGATGAGGCGTATCGCTAGTACTCAGTAGGCGCGCGCAGATCAGAACAAGCCCCACTACTAGTACTAGCTTGGGAGGCGTAGTATAGTGTAGACTGGACGTGGCTTCGACTTTCTTTTGAGTTTGAGTTACGGTGAAATGTCTGGCTGGAGTGTGCACATGTGGTCTGTTTTATGTACTATACTACTACTAGTCACTAGTAGTACTGCCCCCTTTGCACGATGTGGGCTGCGCAGTGCAGCGCGCCGCTAAACACTTGACACACCCGATACACATGCGAGTGACCAAGCGGTGGGGCGGTAACATCGCGATACAACCTGCACTGCAGAACTGTAAAAAGATCAAGTCACTGCGTGCAAGGCGTGTACCCACGTGTGGTAGTGTGGACGTGGGTGTACGTACGTCTACTACATGTACGAAGATCTAGCCGAAGCTAGCTGCTACATGTAGTAATATAAGGAGGTAAGGATCAGGTCATGGATACAATCATCATTCTCATGATTCTGTGTGTCGTGCACATGACTTGTACTGCTACTCGCAGACGCCCATGGGCCATGGCCATGCGCCAGTGCATGCCATATGAGTCAATGACTCATACCACTCTCTGCACATACGTAACAATTACATAGTCAGACTCACAGATCTACCTTCGTGCCCAGCCTACGCGCGAGCGATCGTAACCGGTACGGTCCGTGGCGTCTTACACTACATCATCAGTCAGTATACGGAGGATTAGCAAGACGAAATTCGCGTTCGCAAACATTTTTCAGTTCGCGAACTGGATTGCGAACTTTCGCATTTTTCGTTTAGTTCGGAGAAGTAGTCGGAACACGAATCGCGGATTCGTGTCAGGGCAGTTATAAATTTACCACGCTGTACTGTCTGTACACAATGACATTATGTACGTCGCGTCAACGTCATGCATGTGCTGTTTGCTAATCCTTCTCATAACGCGAACTTACTTCGTCTTGCTAATCCTCCGTAATAATCCATCGGCATCGGCATCAGAGTCAGACTCGGTTGAAGGAGGCCCTGCACTAGACTAGACTAGAGTCCTACTCCTAGTGACCATGGCCTGGGGCAGTGGCGTGTGTTATCACTTACATGTACATCATGTACGTGTTTTCTACGTCCCTGTAGCCTGTAGTGTAGCCTAGCCTAGGTCTAGTCTACGTATGCGCGGGAGAGGAGAGAGAGGGGGTGTGGACTGTCGATACGCTAACGCACATGAACACAGTCACACTGCACATACATGTATTGTTGTAACGTTAGTCATAATGACTGAAGTCGTAAAGTCTAAAAGAGTGCCCCCGGGTGCATTCCCGACCTAATCCGGCCCATGCCCTGTGCCATGACGTGACGTACATAAGACCTTTCGGAGTCTGTACATGACATTGTACAATCATGTACATCACGTAACGACTGACTGTACTGTAGTTTCGATTTTGCGGTGACTGCAGCTCGAAACCAACCTCCAGGCAGGGCAGACGACGGAATGAAGTCTGTGAAGAGCCATGCACTGGGATAAACGGCGCCTTGCTTGAGTTGAGACGCGGCAGGGCTATTTAAAAATAATAGTGGTCTTACACAGTAGTAAGCACAACGCCTCTTCTGCGGACATTCTGAAAGGCATTTCTGACGCAAATCAAAATTCAATTTATCATCTTCATGAAAACAATTTGAGAGAGAGAGAGAGAGAGAGAGAGAGAGAGAGAGAGAGAGAGAGAGAGAGAAAGAGAGAGAGAGAGAGAGAGAGAGAGAGAGAGAGAGAGAGAGAGAGAGAGAGAGAGAGAGAGAGAGAGAGAGAGAGAGAGAGAGAGAGAGAGAGAGAGAGAGAGAGAGAGAGAGAGAGAGAGAGAGAGGCAATGACATGTACATTTTTTTACTAAGTACACAACCTACTCGTCAGAATTCTAGAAGGGGAGAAGACAACAGAATACACAACAACAAAACAGCAGGGAGAGTAGGGGCTGTAGGGCTTTATTTTTCACTGGCTCTTGGAGTAGAAGTGTAGGGCACTATTCGAGATAGGGCACTAATCGAGATAGGGCACTATTCAAGAGAGGGCTCTAATCGCGCGAGTACGGAAAGTGTGTCAGAGAGAAGGCATGGATCATCGCGAAAGGACACCCATGTGGCTCGATAACGATCGATCATGATCATAACGATCGATCTTGTAAGAACGTTTCACGTAACGTCGTTCTAACGTTAATAGCATTATGATTCTGAGAGGACCGGCGTCAGGCCGTAGTGTAGAACTACGACGCTCGATTGGTCAGCGAGTCGTTCTGAGCAATGGCCAGTCGTCAGCTCTCTCTCCCTGTGAGTGTGGTGTTCCTCAGGGAAGTACATGTAAGTATTAGTTTGCCGGATCCTCTTTTGTTCTACACAGTGGACATAGAACAGATCACAGCTCCAGCCCACTCACAACTGTTTGCTGATGATATCCTGCTAGGTGCCATCAGCCAATCTGTTGAATTCTTGAATTTAACGCTCTCCTGTTTGGTCTCCAGCCTGGCCAATTTTCTGGAAGAAAGAGGCTTGATAGTTGTTACTAAAATTAATGACTCGTTCGAGTTGTCATTTTCCCGATGATTTCTAAGTAGTACATACGAGAAGCTCGCAATGTCCCGAACGAAGCATTGCCAACGCTGCCAACGCCCGCCATGACCATCAATATTATTATCTTGCCCGTCATGTGAAGCATACATGATTGTACTTGTCGAATGTCGGTCTTCTTGACCATATAATATATTATAATATTCGCGGGATCCGCGTTAGCATCACTTGAATGTTTAGAAACACACTCGATAATTCGCTGGTCGTCATCGCTACGCATCAGCTGAGCCAAGTAAAATGATTAGTTCCCATCGCTGTCATCACCATTTCTACGGATTGGCACACACAATGGACCCACTGTGCTGCTGGACAGGATTTTTCACCCAGCACTGCACTGTCAGCTTTCTGACGGGCTGAACTCATCATTATATTATTGACATTTCAGCTTCGACCGGACAGGGTAACCCGGTTTCGGAGCAGAAAGCGGCTTGCACAGCTTCGACTTGGTGTACATAGTTGAAGTAATTATTTGTATAAATGGATTCTCCGCAGGCCTTAGCCGAAATCGAGGGAGTCTCCGTCAACAGCTTATGAAGAAGAAGAAGCCGAAGAGAGAGAAAATGATAGAAAGACGTGGAGTGGTAGCGATTCAACACAGTGCTCTGTGACAGCGCTACTCTACCGTCTACGTTGAATGATCCAGAGAGCTCATAATGGGTGGTAACAAAGTGGGCGAGGGCAAGAGAGATAAAACACTTTGGCTTCCTGAATGCAATCGTGGCATCCTTCCAGTTTCAAAACGTGTAGCGTTGCTGACAAAGTTCGAATCGCCACACTTGTGAAGGGCCTGGTTGCTCCTGCTGGCGGCCGCCGTGCAGGCACACTGTTCTGTGTTCATGTTGTTGTTGTCGCAGCATAGTGCCTGCTCTTGTAGGATTTCAAATCAACCAACCGGGCACACGTGTACCTGGCACAACTCTTGCAACCGGCCAGAGCCGGGCACATTCAAGTGCCGCTAGTACTGTACACCATCACTGTCATCAGGGAGTCGTAACCTCTTGAACTCCAGGCCAGGGAGTCGTATAAACTTTTTTTTTTAAAGATTTTCTTCTCCCGTAGATTTTCCGGCTTGTTTCTCCTTTCTCAAGCAGAAACAACTAGAGTTCAGCCATCAGCAAGCTGCAAGCCAAGAGGAAAACACTTGCTGAACTCTGATTGGCTGAGGGCGGGGTTTATACGAGAGCGTCAAAGTATTCAAAGTAGGTCACTTTTTTTTTATCTGTTCACCAATGGTCAATCCTTTCTAATTTTTTTGTAAGATCTTATCTGATCAAATCCTATCCTATTGCCGTATTGGTACCTAATGTTCTGCAAGGATGTTAGGAAATGAACTTCTCGACATCAAATCGGTCAGTTACACTCCGTGTTTTCGGTTTTTCAACAGGGTTCTTTTCCCCGCAGCTCAATCTGTAACATATTCAGTTACCTTCGGTGACTTCTTTCACTTGTGATTTTTTCTCCTCCCCTCCCCATTACTATTCTTATTAAATTTGTCACGTTGCTCATACATGTATGTATAAAAGGAGGCGCCATCGCCTGTTTGTGCTGCTTAAAATTCAACAACAGCAACAACAGCAACAACAGCAACAACAGCAACAACAGCAACAGCAGCAACAACAACAACAACAGCAGCAGCAGCAACAACAACAACATCAACATACATGTACATGTAGTTATTGTACATTGCATGAGACTTATGTAGTACCTCAAACGTGACACTAGATTGATACACATACAGTGCAGCAAGTATCTAATATTGACTGAGTACGAGGTCAATATAGGAAACGAGAGAGCTGGGAAGCTCAGGGCCCTACGCTATGCTTTTTTGCCTAGCTCATCATGCATCTTATTAGAACTGATGGAAGTGTTTTTTTTCCATTGATTGGCTACATCATTGTATTGCAAAAACGTTTCAATCAGTTTGAATATGAGCTAGGCAAAAGTAATTGCAGAATATATTGGGTTACATCAACTTTCTCTTTGGCCCAAACTTCGTTGCGATCTTATAGTGTTTTACGTCGACCATGACGGCTACAATGCCCAACCATACCACAACGAACTGATCGGCTACATCATTGTATTGCAAAAGTTTCCATCTGTTCGAATAGCATGCATGATGAGCTAGGCAAAAAAGCATAGCGTAGGGCCCTGAGCGAAATAAATAAATTTTCTCTTTGCATTCGAGGGTAATACGACACCGTCTACCACCTTCCGAGCAACGCTGGCCCAACTGAACAAAACAAGGGTGTAGTACGCAAAATGTACGCATATCGTACAAAGAT